GGACGCACAGACAACCCCTCGTCAATATGCGTTTTCTGCATTGCATAGCTGCAAAAAACGCATAAAAAATCAGTACTGGCATGTAGCGGAAAGTCGAAACGGCCATCATATTGTACATCTCAGCAGTCATCAGAAGAGGGAACTATTGATAGTTTTACCAATAAGTGACTACTTTTGGCATGTGTCACCAATTGAGCTGCTTCGAGTGTCTCCATGTTTTTACAAAGACTGATTGGGAGGCGATTACTTTGATTTGCATAAAAATTTTTTTGATATAAGATTATAATTAGTTGCGAAAATTCAACAAAATATTTTACTTTTTATCATGCAGAATAACACAGAATAAGCAGTTATACAATAAATTGGCGAGATCATAGTATTGCTTTACAGGAAGGATTGTCGGAGCGCATTTGAGTGTATAACAGCAGCAAAAAATGAAAATTGCATTAATTGGTATCTATTGCATTTTTTTAAAAAAACTGACGTTTTGTTTTGTTGCAGATTGAAACAAAGAATGCGATAGCAGAACTGCTAAAACTAAAGGGGCAATATAAAGAAGAATTCGGCGAGGAATATACACCAGCTGCTGCTGACGCTATAAAAGATCGAAAGGTTTGAAACAAACTTTTTAACAGCTACGAATCAGCTTAATGTCTAATAGCATAAATCGTGGTGTTGGCCGTCAAGAATTGTATTTCACCAGTGAAAATGCTTGGAAACTATGATATAATCAAGCAGGGGCTGTTGTATAAGTAAGATTATGGATAAATATAAGCATTAGAACTGAACAGGAAACTGTAATTTGTGGTGGCTAGTTCGGCATTGTGGGTGAAAAAAAAAATTATTGTTTATGGCTATTATGGCACAGTTCGAGTCATGTATCATATAATTGCTTAATGTTGCTTTATCCGTGCGGGATTGATTCCTTAGTTCTTCATATTATTGATTAGGCCAGTAAAGAAGTTTAATTTCACTGATGCTACTAATGCAGTATGTTTCAGATGTTTGTGATTGTTAGTTGTTTTGTTAGTAGCATAACTGTTTTTCTGTTTCCCAGTGAAATTTTAGTACACAGAAAATTCCGAACTTCTTGTTTAGAGCGCGCAGCTGCTTCACTGCTTCAGTTAACTGTCTTATCACAAAAACTGACGATTAAACAAGTATTAGGTTGATATGTAATTACTGTTCTCGATTTTGTCACTGTTCCTTCGCAGTTTTTCTTTTTTTTTTTTGTGATCAGCGAGATTTTCGTTTTCCTTCCGATTTCATTTTATGTCCCTTGAGACTGAGTCTGAATTGTGTGCTGTTCTTTTTTTTTTGTTGTCTATTTCTACGCACTGGATTTCTTGCTGCCAGTAAATTAGCTTGGGCAGTACTGCGCTCGGCACAGCGACATCTCTTTTTTATGTCATTCTTGTTTCTCCCCGTTCCAGTCTCTGCACATACAGAAATGTTTTGGTGTTTTATATTTCTCGTAACTGTTGTGTCAGTCTAGTTTACACTTTTAGATCATACTTGATTTTGATAAAGTTTAGTTTTTTCTTCTCGTTTTCAGTTTAACCTGTCGCCTCTTCCTTATACTTCTCATGTTTCAGGTGATTTTCATGTTTCAAATTGAATATCTGTTAGCCTTCTTTTCATATATGCTTATCCCCTTTGTCATTAAAAAGTTTTTAGATACTTTTTATGCGTTTTGCGCTGTGTAACCGCAGCAAAAAACATGTTTTGTCACGGGGTTGTCTGTGTGTTTGTGTGCGAATACATTTTGTTCCGCTCTTTCAAATCCGGAACTACGGAAGCTAGGAGGCTGAAATTTTATAGATCTTTCATCGTTTACGTGCGGCCCCGTAAGCTTAAATTCAGCATGCATGTGTCTCTGGGCGCCAAGTACGTCCTCGCGGAAATTTTTGTCGGAAAATTACTCCCTAGTGGACCACGAGAGCTAGGAACTGAAATTTTTAGGCATACTCTCCTACCCACGTGCGCCTCCGCAAAAGTTTTCGCGGGAAAAATTATTTCGAGGACGAAAAGTGCTGGAAAACCGAAAACTTCAGAAGGATGTTTTCTGCTTAACGCTGGCCTAACAAACTCAAATTTAGCACTCATTTATGACGAGGTCTCACGTACGACCACATGAAAGTTTTGGCGCGAAAGTTTTTCGAAAGCCAGAGAACTAGGAGGTTGAAATTTTTGAACAGTATTCACTGTCCAAGGCTTCAGATTCAGCTTTCACGTATGTTTGCATTTCACGTACCGATACTTGAAGTTTTCAGTTAGAAATTTCGCAGCTTAAGAGCCAAACAATATACCAATTATTTTTGCACAGACTATAGTGTAGAACAGTGAAAATCCTTAGCAGGTCGTCCAACTGGATGAAACTGCGCAGAACACATGATCACCCCGGCTGCCTTGGTGCACGCCACTATTAATTTTTTATTGAAGTGCGGTTAAAGTCATTATCAAATGGATATTTTTGAATTCAGAACGAACTTTTTTGAAAGTAAG